TGAATAGTGAAGGGGGAAAGAGCAACTTCCCATCATCTCAGAAATCAGTACACTTTGTCCCCTTCAAAACTGTCAGCTGCTCAGGACCTGCCAGAGCCAAGGGCTGTGCACCCTGCACTGCACAGCTGTGCTGTGCTGTCTGCAGCCTGCTCCTCGCAGGGCATACCTGGCTGGTGTTACACTGCAGAGCAAGCTTGTAACCTCTTCCTACCTTGGCATTTGTGAAGAGGATGTTAATTTGTGCTACACTTTCAAGGATTGTCTCTACTTTCTGTTCTATTACCCTCCTCCCCCAATACGCTGCTACTTTAAAGGAGCTTCTTAAGCAGCATTTCCCTCCTTTTGCAGAAAAACAATGACTGCACCTCATGTAGAGCACGTTTGGGAGCACTGTTAGTCTGTGAATGGGAAATGGTGGGTAATTTGGCCATCTATGCCTTAGATGACTGGTTTCCAAAATTATTAAGCAATGTGATTTATTTAGGGGCTTTCCCCTATTTTATTTTTTCCCCCCCTATCAAAAGTTCATTGGCCAGACAGGGACTGTGCACAGAATCACGGACAGAGGGGACGTGAGGGTCCAGTTCAACAGTGAAACCCGCTGGACTTTCCATCCTGGAGCTCTGACTAAGGTAGGTGAGATTGGCCAGAACTGGAAGTGCTGCAAGGAAAAGCTGTGGATTTAGTCTGCTGTGTTAGGACACAGTGTGTCTCAAGGAAGTGCTGAAGAAATACACTGCTGTTCTAAAAGCAGGAGTTCTAGGCAGAATTTCCTGCAAGCCATCAGAGCTAGGGCAGGTGGCTGCAGACAGTAGGAGTTAGGCTACTAGGCTGTTGAGTTTTAGGAACCTTTTCATTCAAATGCTGTAAGTTCTGAAGGTAAATTCCATTTCTTACTTTTCAGCTTCTTTGATAAGAGTAACAGTAGACCTACAGTAGCTCATCCTTCTGCAGCTGCCTTTCATCTGTGATGAACCTTCTTCTGCATAATTTCTGTCTGGTTTTCTTCCTTGGTTTTGTGTCTTCATGTTATTCTCCTTTTTGCATATTTCTTTGTCTCACTTCGCTCTGATTCTTCTGGATGACCTGAGTCTTTACTCCAGCTCTTCTAATTTTGTGTCTACATTTCCAAAGCTCATAGCTCTGACTCCTCCCTAGAGGTTTGAAGACTTGAAATGGGGATGATGAGAAACAGGGGTAGTAAATATAGAAGGAGCTGCTGGAAGACTACAGAGTTCTGAAAGAGCTGAACGAGGTCACAGCAGTAAAAACTCCAACACCAATGGAAAACGCAGTGTCAGACTGTTTGGTGCAGAATTAGTCTGCTTTGAAATGTGTGTTTTGACAGTGCTCCCTTCTTAGCTCAGTGAGCAGAGGGAGCATCTGGCAAATTACCAGCTCAGATAAACTCTGGTTTCCCTTTTCTGTTTTTAATAACAAACAGATTTAACTTCCTTATTAAAGTGAATTAAAATCTCCAGTGCCAAATCAGGTAGGGTGAGGAGGTGGACCAAGGAAAGTTTCACTTGGGCTTTATTCTGATATTAATTATAAATGGTTTGAAGAGGAAAGAAAAGAAGAAAAATGCTCTGTCCCAAATTATTTCCCTTCTTAAATGTGCACTTGGTTTAAAACAGAAATACCCCAGCCCTTGGGCTGTGTTTATTTTGCAGTGCAGTGATTACAAGTCCTACTTGTGTGTTGTAAAGCCTTGGTTTTTGAGTTCTTGTTTGGTTGGGTTTTCTGAGGCTGGGAGTGGGGTGGAGGGGATAATGGATGGCTATTTTTTTTCTCCTGGCTCCGTCCCCCAAAAGCTTATGACTTTCTTTTTCTTGTAGCTCAACACCTTTTGGGTTGGTGATGTTGTCCGGGTGATAGATGATATGGAAACAGTGAAGCGGTTCCAACCTGGTCATGGGGAGTGGACAGATGAAATGGCACCTGTGAGTGCGAACCAGTTCCAGGACAGTCCAGTAACTTCCTGAGTTCTCCCAAGCAATAGTGACTGGGCTTGCATTGCCCTCCAGAGTTCCTGCTGGGCAGTGGGTGCACAGGGACTGCTGAGGCCTTGCAAAAGGAACGTTGCCCAGTGCTATTGGCTGTTGGTCTTGCAATCCTGCTGCAGCACCCAAAGCAAAGCGGGCAGGTGGGGAATCTGACAAAGGATTTGGCTACCAGTAAAGAGGTTTCAGTAGCCAAAGTAAACGAGTCCTCTTATGCCCTCCCTAATTGTCTGGGACAAGGCAGGGAAGTGTCCAAGTAGAAAAATGGTCTGATGAGACCAGTATGGCTAAAACGCAGAACACGAATGTCCTCCAGGAGCAATTAAGTGTGCAGAGGAAACCTCTCCTAGTCCCAATTTTATCAGTTCTCTCAGGGTTCTTCAGACCATGTCTTGTTGTTTCACCACCTTCCCCTCCAGACATCTGAACGGTGTCTGGGAAACCCTCCTGATGTAAATCCAGTAATAGAGAAATGGCTAAGAACCCTCTGGTGGTGTCCTTGGAGTGGGAGCTGTTGGCATGTGTCACTGTTCAGTGCTTCTTTTCACACAGCAGGAGTGCTGCCTCTGCAGCCACTCCAGAAGCACTGCACTGGGTCTGAGATGCAAACATTCTACATCTTCCCTTTAAAAAATAATTTCTCTTTCC